TTATATATAGCTGAATTTTATGACAGATGTTCTTTCTAATTGTTACTCTAATCCTAAGGTTTCTCGATGGGACAGAGACAACTCTTTGGATTTACAAAGCTAAAATCACGGATTTAATTCTCCTCGGTGGACACAGCAGATAACTATAACATACTATTCTTAAGTGTTTCTGCTCTGCATATGAAATAATAAACCATGGAAATACTGAGGAAATTATCAAGGTGCTTGGAGAGATTATCATCGCCATTTATCACTTTGGATACATCTGAAATATAATGTTGAAACAGATGTACTTTAACTAAAGGTGCTTGGAGAGATTATCATCGCCATTTATCACTTTGGATACATCTGAAATATAATGTTGAAACAGATGTACTTTAACTAAAGGTGCTTGGAGAGATTATCATCGCCATTTATCACTTTGGATACATCTGAAATATAATGTTGAAACAGATGTACTTTAACTAAAGGTGCTTGGAGAGATTATCATCGCCATTTATCACTTTGGATACATCTGAAATATAATGTTGAAACAGATGTACTTTAACTAGAGGAAAAATAACTTCAGCATAAAAAAAAGGTTTACCTTTGAAGCCAGAAGTAACAATAATTTTCCAAGATAAGATGTTAAAAAGGATTCTATGTTACTGATATATTATCAAATAAGCTAAAAATAAACGTGAATCTTATCTATCATTCAATTTACCAATTACCACTGACTTCGTGAAATTCCAACCCTCATCAGTAACCCTGGGTAAGAACACACCGAAAAGATATCACTAAACTAGTAATGAAGAACGACGTGTATTGTGAACATATAAAACGCTATTGTATTTTCTATATCATTAATTATTGTCTTGGCACATAGAGTGAAATATACTTAATTCTTAGCTTTGTGGATTATAGCTTTGTACATTTCAAGTTATCCGACAAAAAAACAAACAAGTTAATATCATACTCCTGTAATTAGCCAATAACCATGTATCTGTCATAAGTCTCTGTTCCTGTAATCAGCCAATAACCATGTTTTATTTGGATGTACCTGCCACAAGTCCTCCGTTCCTGTAATTAGAGAATAATCATGTATCTGTCATAAGTCCTCCGTTCCTGTAATTAGCCAATAACCATGTATCTGTCATAAGTTCTCTGTTCCTGTAATTAGTCAATAACCATGTATCTGTCATAAGTTCTCTGTTCCTGTAATCAGCCAATAACCATGTTTTATTTGGATGTACCTGTTATAAGTCCTCTGTTCCTATAATTAGCCAATAACCATGTATCTGTCATAAGTTCTCTGTTCCTGTAATTAGTCAATAACCATGTATCTGTCATAAGTTCTCTGTTCCTGTAATCAGCCAATAACCATGTTTTATTTGGATGTACCTGTTATAAGTCCTCTGTTCCTATAATTAGCCAATAA